TTGTTATCGAGTTCAAGCTCGCTCTGCTCACTGCACAATAAGCCAATGAATACACAAGATGAGGTGTTGAGGAAAGGAAGAGACTTTAATTGGAGAGCCGTCAGACAGAGAAGATGGCAGGCTCAGTTTAGTTCAGTCGCTCAGTTATGTCCAGCTCTTTGAGACCCCATGGACTGCAGCATGCCAGGCTTCCCTGTCCATCACCAACTCCCGGAGCTTACCCAAACTCATGTCCATCAAGTTGGTGATGCCATCCAACCATCTCATCCTTTGTCAAAATAACCATTTTATGGGGTCTGGATGCCAGGTTCTTTTATAGATCAGAGATGATGAGGGGAGGTAAGGAAGCAAAGTAAAAAGGCCATTAATCTTGCAAACATATGCTAGAATGGCAAGCTTCAGGCAGGGGATGTGTTAATTTCTTCCTTCCTGCCATCCATAGGTGGACATGGCTCTGAACAAAGGCACTTTAGTTTAACAGTCAGGCAGAGGGGCAGGATTCTCTGATGCAAACCATTCTACATGATCATGATGACAAAAGCAACAAAAAGCAAGTCAAACAAACAGTTCCAACATGGGATTCAGAATTGGCTTCTTCCCTGCAACAGTGTTAGGGACACTATCACCACTTCCCTACATTTCTGAAGGTCAGATGGCCTGTGTTGTGGTTTAGGCCCACATCATCACTCACCCGGACAACAGCAGTATCCCCATTAATGAGCATTGTTACCACAGCGTCTTGAACCTGAAAAAACATATTACAAAATATGCATCAAAGGAACAATATATTCTACCAAGATACCCACAAATAACCCTGTTTATGTTTATCATTATGGGACACATCAACTTTACCTGTTTGTTAGCAACATTCCAAGGTCAACATCATTTTGGGGTAAGACCATCATATCCTAAGTACATACCTGCAAGAATCCCATGGTTACTACTGTGGAGAGGAACACCATAATTATCTGTGTACCTGAAATTTCTGGACACTTGGAGTAAAAATGTAAAGTAAAAATGTGAAGACTCATGGATTCTAGAATTGGTAAGGACTCTTATCATTTCTTACCTAAATAGCTATTAAAAAAAAATGTTAAGTGTTAGGGATGCTACCGTCACTTATTTAGATATCTGAAAATCAGATGGTCTGTGCTGATTTAGACCCACATCATCATTTATATGGACACTGGCAAAATCCATGTCAACAGCCATGGTTAAGTTCATCATATTCTTTTGACTAAAACCTGACAAATACATTGTTACAAATGTTCCCACATATGTATCATTTTTCTTCTGGGTGCCTATAAGTAAAGCTGTTGGCTTTCTTTATTGTAGGATATATCAACTCTACTTGGATACTTGTTGTATTCCACAGTTTACATTTTTGTTAGTAACAATATTCTCTTTTGACTGGTTACTTGCAAAAATTCTAGTGAAAAGTAAGGGCTAATTCTTTCTCTCTTTTTTTTTTTAGGGCTATTTCTTTGTAGTATTTATGAGAACACTAACATTTCTTACCTGAATATCTACAAAAAGAAAACAAAACATGGTAACACAAATGTCAGGGATACCATCATCATTTACCTGGATTTCTGAAGGTCAGAAGGGCTATAGTGTTGTCAGACTCATAATCACTTACGGGATCAAGCAAAGTCTTATTAACGACCATTGTTAGGGTCACTGTGCTTCCCTGACTGGAACCAAAAAAAAAAAAACCACTGTGACAGATATATTTAACAACATAACTTTTCCTACTAGGACACTGACAAAGAACTTTTGTCACTTCCATCTTTATGGGCCCATCCATGCTACCTGAACATTTGCAGAACTTCCAGGTTAACACCGTGGTTACAGGTACCATCATTTCTTGACCTTGCACCGATAAAATTCTCATGGTCAATACTGTGATGGAGAATGTTAAGCTCACTTATCTGGATACTTGCAAATCTCTCATTCATTCCTAAGGTTAAACACACATTATCTCTAAATTAGAAAACTAGCTAAACTAGATCTCACAGTTATTTGTATTTGTAGGCCCAGTATCACTTTTTATCTGAATATTTGCAAAAAAAAAAAATATGATACCAACACGTGTTGGGGACAACATCATCGCTTACCTAGAATTCTGAAAATCTTATAGCCTATACAATGTTTAAGGTCCACATCATCACTTGCCTGGATTCCATGATATTCACCTTTATCTCCTAATTTGGAGCCTACAAAAACACATGGTGGCAACTGTGATTAGGGATATATCTTCCACATGGACTTCAAAAATTCCTACGATCACTACTACCATTATGGGACTTATGAACTCTACCTGGATCCTTTAGTTCTGAGGTCAACACTGTAGTTGGAGACACCTTCATCTCTTGACTGGGACCTGTAAAAACACATGGTGGCAACCCTGGTTAGGAATACCTGTTCTTCCATCTGGACCCTGCTAATTCCATCAGTCCATTGCATTATGGCGACCACCAACTCCACCTAGATACCTGGAGAAGTCTAAGGTCAACACTGTAGTTTCAGACACCATCTTCTATTCAAAGAATACCTGCAAAAATCAATTAGCCTCCAACTAATAAAAATAAATGAAAAAAAAAAATCCCATGGTCGCTACTATAGTTAGGACTCTGAGATATCTTATCTGGATCCTGCAAATATCTTTGTCACTACTAAGTTTTAAGACAAAATCATCCCTGAACTAGGAAACAGTAAATTCTGATGCTTGCTACTTTTGTTAAGGACATTAATTTCTTACTGGAATACCTACAAAAACATTGTTATGTTAAGAGTTTGGGATAACATCATTACTTTTCTAAATATCTGAAAATCTTATGTTTTCTAATGTGTTTAAAGTCCACATCATCTTTTACTTGGGTATTAGCAAAGTCCCACATTTATTCCTATTATTAAGTTTGCCATGATCTACTGACTGGAAACTGAAAAACCCCATGGTCTGTATTGTGGTGAGTGATGCCATGATAAGTTACTGGACAGTTACAAAATACTTTGAAGTCCACTTGGTTAAAACTCACACTTTTTCAATGAAAGATTTATCTGCCTAGCAAGGCAAATTTCTTTAACCATTTGTTTCCTCTTCTCACCTTTCTAAAAATTGTCTCCCTCCCTTTGGAAGCCCCAGAGCCCTGTCTCTTCCCTTAGCTCAGGATGGTATATAAGTCTCAATTACTTGCCTGCCTTTTTGAGTCTCATATCTTTGTGGGGCTCCAATACACATATATGTGCATGTTACCAAAAAATGCAAGTTTGTGTGGTCAACGCACAGTGAGGCCAAACAATACTAAAACATTGGAGTTTAGAACAGAGATAGGTTTATTAAAGGGCCATGCAAGGAGATGGGGGATCATGCCCTAAGAACCCCAAAGTTACTGAAAGCTTTCAGCAAAGCCCTTTTATAGGAAAAGTGAGGGAGGGGCATGGTTAGTTATTACAAACTTCATGCAGTCAAATCCTTTGTCCTTGAAGTTAGGTCATGGTCAGATAACAATGTTCCTGTAAATCTCTACCAAACAAATGATATTCTCTGTCCTGATAAGAAAGAGCAAGGTTCCAAGGCATAACTTTCACCCTCTGAGGTCCAGGTCCTGGCTAAGAGGAGGAAGATCTCAGTTGGGAGCTCCCCCAAGGCCAGGTCCCCAGACCCTGCCCAGCTGTCATGGCTGAGGAAGCCAGACGCTCAGGACCCAAGTTGCCCTCAGGCTTCTCAGGCCACTCAAACTGGGGTATGTGAGGGGGAAACCATGTCCCACAGACAGCAACCCAGGCACACTGCCACTGCTATTAGGTTGCAGAGACCAGGATTGGGGATATGTTCGTCGCTGCCTCAAAGGCCTGGGTCGAGGTTAGTGGGTGGCTTTGGTGAGGGCTCTGGAGCCCTGCAGGACACAACCCCAGTCTGTTCTCTGGGCCCCCAGCTCACTCGTTGGCCCAAGGCTGGATGGCTGAAGGGCCTCGAGGAGAAAGCCAGGATCCAACTCTTACCTCAGTCTCCGCCTCAGGACCACCACTCCACTGTTGTCTGAATCCCCCCACTAACTGCCGTTTCTTGACCGTTGGTTCCTTATGGACAGGGCTCACTAAGCACTGACCAATTACTGAGCAGAACCACTAACGGTCACTCACTGACAGTTGGCTGTCAGTGGGCGGGACCCACTGCAGTGCCAACCAATGGCTGAGCAGGATCCGTTGCCTGGTAACGGGGTAATGATCCACGACAATGGCTGCCGGCTAGGGGCTATGCTTGCCCTGCTCTATTATATGCATACAAAAAAAAAAAAAAAAAATCATTTCTTTTTCTTCTGTTAATCTGCCTTTTATCACAGGTTTCAGCCAAGAATGTAAAATGGTAGAGGGAAAATTTGCTTTCTTCCCCTATAATATGTTCATAGTCCCATATTCACGATAGGTTTACCATCAGTTCTTGACTCAGTTCAGTTCAGTTCAGTTGCTCAGTCGTGTCCAACTCTTTGCGACCCCATGAACTGCAGCACGCCAGGCCTCCCTGTCCATCACCAACTCCCGGAGCTTACCCAAACTCATGTCCATCAAGTTGGTGATGCCATCCAACCATCTCATCCTTTGTCAAAATAACCATTTTATGGGGTCTGGATGCCAGGTTCTTTTATAGATCAGAGATGATGAGGGGAGGTAAGGAAGCAAAGTAAAAAGGCCATTAATCTTGCAAACATATGCTAGAATGGCAAGCTTCAGGCAGGGGATGTGTTAATTTCTTCCTTCCTGCCATCCATAGGTGGACATGGCTCTGAACAAAGGCACTTTAGTTTAACAGTCAGGCAGAGGGGCAGGATTCTCTGATGCAAACCATTCTACATGATCATGATGACAAAAGCAACAAAAAGCAAGTCAAACAAACAGTTCCAACATGGGATTCAGAATTGGCTTCTTCCCTGCAACAGTGTTAGGGACACTATCACCACTTCCCTACATTTCTGAAGGTCAGATGGCCTGTGTTGTGGTTTAGGCCCACATCATCACTCACCCGGACAACAGCAGTATCCCCATTAATGAGCATTGTTACCACAGCGTCTTGAACCTGAAAAAACATATTACAAAATATGCATCAAAGGAACAATATATTCTACCAAGATACCCACAAATAACCCTGTTTATGTTTATCATTATGGGACACATCAACTTTACCTGTTTGTTAGCAACATTCCAAGGTCAACATCATTTTGGGGTAAGACCATCATATCCTAAGTACATACCTGCAAGAATCCCATGGTTACTACTGTGGAGAGGAACACCATAATTATCTGTGTACCTGAAATTTCTGGACACTTGGAGTAAAAATGTAAAGTAAAAATGTGAAGACTCATGGATTCTAGAATTGGTAAGGACTCTTATCATTTCTTACCTAAATAGCTATTAAAAAAAAATGTTAAGTGTTAGGGATGCTACCGTCACTTATTTAGATATCTGAAAATCAGATGGTCTGTGCTGATTTAGACCCACATCATCATTTATATGGACACTGGCAAAATCCATGTCAACAGCCATGGTTAAGTTCATCATATTCTTTTGACTAAAACCTGACAAATACATTGTTACAAATGTTCCCACATATGTATCATTTTTCTTCTGGGTGCCTATAAGTAAAGCTGTTGGCTTTCTTTATTGTAGGATATATCAACTCTACTTGGATACTTGTTGTATTCCACAGTTTACATTTTTGTTAGTAACAATATTCTCTTTTGACTGGTTACTTGCAAAAATTCTAGTGAAAAGTAAGGGCTAATTCTTTCTCTCTTTTTTTTTTTAGGGCTATTTCTTTGTAGTATTTATGAGAACACTAACATTTCTTACCTGAATATCTACAAAAAGAAAACAAAACATGGTAACACAAATGTCAGGGATACCATCATCATTTACCTGGATTTCTGAAGGTCAGAAGGGCTATAGTGTTGTCAGACTCATAATCACTTACGGGATCAAGCAAAGTCTTATTAACGACCATTGTTAGGGTCACTGTGCTTATCTCTTGAAGAATTTTCCACAGTTTGTTGTGATCCACATAGTCAAAAGCTTTGGCATAGTCAATGAAGTAGAAATGGATGTTTTTCTGGATCTCTCCTCCTTTTTTGATTATCCAGTGGATGTTCTTGACTAAATACTTGCAAAATACATTGGTTACCACACTGGTTTGTGATACATTATCTTTACCTGGATAAATACAGAAGACTGTAGTCTCTACTAGGTTTATAAAAACAAATCTTACACAAAGACCTACAAATTATCCAGATAAATGCCACTGTTAGGGACATATCATCTCTAACCTGTGTAACTATAAAATATCGTGATACTACCATCCATTGTTAGTTATACGCCTTACCTGGACACCTTCAACCCATGGTCACCACATTTTTAGGGACACTAACATCTCTAACTTGGATACTTACAAAATGCCTTGTTCACTATTGGGATTAGTATTACTATCATCTCTTGACTGCATACCTGCAAAATCCCATCATCAATTTCATGGTTAAGGACACCACTATCTCTTCAATAAACCCCTGAAAAACCCCATGGTTGCTTTTGTGGTTAGGTTCACCAATATACCTGGACTACCACAAAATACTATTTACTAATAAGTGGTAAGAGACACCATCAGATCCTACCTGCCTACCTGAGAAATCCCGATTTCAGTACTGTAGTTCAGGGCACTCTTCTCTTTTAGCTGGATATCTACAGAATACTACAGTCACTCCAATGATTAAACTGATCATCATTTTGTACCTGTATAACTTCAATATTCTATGTCTACTACCTACGTAGGAACACCCTCATTTCTTACCTGGATATTTACAAAATTCCATGGAACTACCATTGTTAAGGACACCATTATTTCTTCCCAGGATTCCTTCAAAATAATATGGTCACTACAATGGTTAGAACCACCATCATCTCTTACTTGAAGATCTGTCAGGTCCTATCATAGAATCTCTTGATTAGACATTCAAGGCTCTTCATGTCTGACTCTGTCTCACCAGCCTCAGCCCCTCTCATCCCCTCTTATCAATATGTGAACATTTTAAGCAGCTGAATTTCCCTGAATATTCCTTTCTTTCCTGGTTACAGGCAGTAGAATGCTCAAGCCAGCGCTTACCACCTAATAGGAGCTGATTATGCTAATTTCTTGGCAACTCAGTGTTCAGTGGCCTTGAAATTGGCCATGATGGTGTATTTACACCACAGAAATTGGCAAATGTTGCACATCAGGGCTTTTCTTTTGTGGTTAAGTTCACCAATATACCTGGACTACCACAAAATACTATTCACTAATAAGTGGCAAGAGACACCATTAGCTCCTACCTGCCTACCTGAGAAATCCCAGTGTCAGTACTATAGTTAACAATGTACTGATGAATATAGTAATAAATGAACAGAGGCAGGCATTACTGAATATGACAACTCAAACTTGCTTTCTCATAAATCTGATGTGACTTTTGTGGATGAAGGAATGTGTCAGTTAGTGCTACATATGCCTTAAATTATTTTTCCAAACTTGTATACTTAATGAAAAAAATGGATAAACACTTACATTACAAATTACTTAATATAGTATTAATGCTGATCAAGGACTTACATAATCCCAATATATCCCAAATTGACAAATTTGCCAAAAAGAAAAACAAAAAATTCAATAGCTAAATACTATTAGACCTACCCCCAAAATTATATATATACATATATATCTCACCCCATTTACCAGAGAAAATCTTTTATTTTCCTTACCACAGAAATTTCTTATTGCGCTTTTAGTGATAATCTAAATTTCTATCAGTAATCATATTTAAATTTCATAAAGTTCTTAGTCAACATTCCTTTGAAAATCAAGTAAAATATCAAGAGAGAGAAGAAGCATGTCACATTTCCTCTTTTTAGGTCTTCAATATGGGAGTCAATTTTATGCGGATTCTTGAGAAGAAAATAAAAAAAGCTCCATAGGATAGCTACAGTTTTGATGGCTGTTTCCTTCAGACTGCCCAGAGGCTAACAGGAGCAGAAGGCAATTAGTAAAGGCCATACTTTTCATGTTGGGATTGCTTTTAGCTTCAAACTTCTTTATTTCTCCTAGCACCCTCACTTTTCTGCAACCCTTCACAATAATAGAAAACTGAGAAGTTAAATGGACCATGGACCTGAAGACAGTGTAAAACTGACAGACCACCAGGCAATTTTCCTTTTACAAAGAAAACTTTCTATTTTTTAATGATTATGCTTAGCTACTAGCCATTTCTACACATTAAGATTAGCCATCAACTATGAGAATACTGGTGACAGATTAATGCACCAACTGGGGTATGACCAGTCCCTGAGAACACCTTTCTGTTTCCTAAACCTCTGTCTCACCTACCTCACTCTTTCCTTTTTCTAAGTGAAAAAGATGATCATCTTTGATAGTATTGCAATGATCTTGTTACCTGCACTGGTTGAATTCACATGGAATTATTTTCCTGCCTTGCAGGGAATTAAATGTGCTTTAAAATTATAAAGCACATCTCCTTCCAGGAGGCCTGGTGTGCTGCAGTCCATGTGGTCACAAAGAGTCAGACACGACTGAGCGACTGAACTGAACTGAACATGGATTTGTATATCATTTAATAGACATTTATACCATGCTGGGTTTTATAAATGTCTATTAAATGATATACAAATCCATGTACAATGATGCTAATATTTTTCACTGGGTCCAGAACATCTAATTGTTTGGTGTCTGCTTTAAAAAAGAAAGTGAAAGTTGCTCAGTCATGTCGGACTATAGTCCATGTAATTCTGCAGGCCAGAATACTGAAGTGGGTAGCTGTTCTCTTCTCCAGGGCATCTTCCCAACCCAGGGATCGAACCCAGGTCTCCTGAATTGCAGGCAGATTCTCTACCTGCTGAGTTACCAGGGAAGCCACTTTTAAAAAAAGGAGGGGGGGGGAGAGGATAATGAAGTAATCAGAATTCATATTTTCTTTCTTTTTTTGGTGCACTTCGCAGCTTACAGGGCCCGACCAGAGATCAAACCTGGTCCTTCGGCACTGAGAGAGTCCTAACCACTGGACCACCAGGTAACTCCCTAGAGTTTCACTTTTAAGATAAATATTATGCTTCAAAGTGGCAACCTATTTTGTTTTTGTGTATGTCTGTGTGGTTTCTCTTGATTTTTTAAAATGTACTCTGGTGTTGTGATTTATGAGATTTTTATAGATGTATATAGATTTGATCACGGTTTCTGGCTCACAGCTTCCCAAAACTCTTGGAATTTCCTACAGATAAGAGCAGTGGGAGCATCTTTTGTTATAATAGTTGGTTGCTTGTCCTCAATTTCTGGCATTCCTTCAGAGCCATAAAGGTGAAGTGGTTGCCTTGTTATTCAGAACAAGCCCTATTCATCACAACCGGTTTCGTGTTAATGAGGTGACTTTTGGAAAGCTCCTAAGGAGGGGGACTGGTTGCCAGGGGAACCAACCTTGATTAGAGGGTTGAACTTTCAGTCCCACCCCCTGATTTTCTGGGAGAGGAGAGGAGATGGAGGGTGAATCAATCATCAATGGCCAACAAGTTAATCAGTTATATTTGTTTTAATATATTGAAACCTCTATAGAACCGAAAAGGATGGGATCTGGGGGGGCTTCTCGGTGGGTGGACCATAGAGGTGCTGGGAGAGTAGGGCACTTGGAGAGGGCTTTGGAGTTCTGTGCCCATTCTCCATACCTTGCCCCCTGCCTCTCATCCAATTTGGTTGTTCCTGAATTATGTTCTTTTATAATCAGTCATTGTGCAATTAAATAAAATGCTTTTCTGAGTTTTGTGAGCCACTCCAGCAAATCAATCAAACAAAGGAGGGGGTTGTGGGAACCTCTGATTTATAGCCAGTCGGTTCAGAAGTACAGAGAATAATCTAGGCTTGCAATTAGCATCTAAAGTGGTGGGGTGGCGGTTTGATCTCTTCTGGTAGGTAGTGTCAGAAGTGAATTAAATTTGCAGGACACCCAGCTGGTATGGGGACACCCCCACCCACATGTTGTAATTGTTCTTAGAACCTTAAGAACCAAAATAGTAATTTTCATATCAACCCCAGGAGTTCCAAGCTTATTACATAAAATAAAGTTATTATTAGGATTTATACTAATATATATGATATAAATCATAAGTATAATAACTCTGTAGTATTGTGATTATATTCAGAGATAATAGTCAAGATGAGATAAATAAAATGCAGAATTAATTTTGGAGGTCATCTCAGGCATGGCCTGAGAAGGTGCAGGGCTGGAAAATCAAGGATCCTTGCTGAGTCAGGAAGTACCATAGCTGGAAGCCCAAATGCCAAACTTTGCCCTCTGCTCTGCCTAAAGCGGGACATAGCTGTCTCATTTTGTCCAATAGATGCTCCTAAACACAGAGAGGCAAGCTCTTCAGTTGCTCTTCCACTGCATTGCTAGTAAGATTGGACTGTAAAGCATTTTCTCTCCTAGAGTCAAAATAGAAAGGGAGAGCCCCACAGGAATCTGACCCCAGGAGTTTTAAACATAAAAATTCAGTTGGTAGCACTGGGTTTATAAAGCACTCCTTTCCCTTCCAAGGAGAAGCTGAATCTGATCAAGCTTCTAAACTGAACTACCAGTTTAGGGGAACTAACAGATCCATGTACAATGATGTTAATATTTTTCTTGGGCTTCCCTTGTGGCTCAGCTGGTAAAGAATCTGCCTGCAATGTGGGAGACCTGGGGTCTGATCCCTGAGTTGGGGAGATCCCCTGGAGAAGGGAAAGGCTACCCATTCCAGTATTCTGGCCTGGAGAATTCCATGGACTGTACAGTCTATGGCATCGCAAAAAGTCGGACACGACTGAGCGACTTTCATTTTCACTTTCAGCGTTGTTAGTGTCAAACGCCAAAACTAAATTTAGTAATGAATTTGATGTCCTTTATTCAAGGGAAAACAATCTATGGAGTGAGGGTACAGTGCCT